CACACTGTTCTTAGGTTTGATACCCGACTGGTATTTTACTGGCACAGCCGGTATTTGAGGCTGCCTGGCTGTGCCGGTACTGCAGTAATACCGGCAATACTAATGCAGGTATTTTTCTCAGTATAAACGGAGATTACTCTGCAATACCAGCACCGGCCAGTAAGGGGTCACTGTGTGTGGAGAGAGACAGGGATAGGAAGTTAGAGTATATCCCTGCCTCTCTCTACTACTCACTGATCCGTGGGGGAGCAGCTACACAGCACAGGGAGTTCAGACAGCAGCTCTACGGCTCAGATAAGTGAGGGATGGGGGGAAAGGCAGCAGGGAGACATGGGGACACAGACACTAGGGGACACATGAAGACACAGACACTAGGGGACACTGGGAGGCCTGGGGACACTGAGATACTTGGGGATGCTGGAAAACATGGGGACACAGACACTAGGGGACACTGTGAGACATGGGGATGCTGAGACACATGGGGATGCTGTGAGACATAGGGACATTGGGAGACACTGAGACATTGGGACACGGAGACACTAGGGACACAGTCTCCCAGTGTTCCCATGTTCCCCAGCCAGTGTCCCTAGTTGCTCAGTGTCCCCATGGCTCCCAGTTTCCCCTAGTCTCCCAGTATCTGTGTCCCTAGTGACTCAGTGTCCCCATGTCTCCCAGTGTCCCCATGTCTCCCAGCCAGTGTCTTCAGTGTCCCCATGTCTCCTAGTGTCCCCAAGTCTCACAGTGTCTGTGTCCCCATGTCTCTCAGTGTCCCCATGTCTATGTCCACAAGTGTCCCCATGTCTCCCAGTGTCCCCAAGTGTCTCAGTGCCCCCATGTCTTCCAGTGTCTGTGACCCCATGTCTCTGTGTCCCTAGTGTCTGTGTCCCCATGTCTCTGTGTCCCTAGTGTCTGTGTCCCCATTTCTCCCAGTGTCCCCAAATGTCACAGTTCCCCAATGTCTCCCACTGACTCCATGTCTCCCAGTGTCCCCATGTCTGTATTCACAAGTGCCCCCATGTCTCCCAGTTTCCCCAAGTGTCTCCGTTCCCCCATGTCTCCCAGTGTCCCCGGGTCTGAGACTGAGACACTGGGACACTAGGGGACTGGGTGACACGGGGACACTTACACTGTGATATATAGGGACACTGAGACACTGGCTTACTTGGGAGACTGAGACACTGGGAGACAGGGAGACACTGGGAGCAATCCATTTATACAGCAGAATCAAATTGTGGGTAGTTTGTTGGTGATTTTTACAGAATTTTCTCTTATGTCACTCCTTGTGATTTATATCATGTGATGTCACCTATACATAATTAATTATACAAATGATTAAGGCCTGTATCTTTTTCCCAAGAAAGGTGGCAACCCTAACTACTCTTCACATACTCTTGCTTAAAGGAACACTATAGGGTCAGGAACACAATCTTGTATTTCTGACCCTATTATGTAAAAACCACCATCTAGCCCCCCTGGCCCTCTCTTGCCTCCCTAAATATAGTAAAATCTTACTTGTATTTAAGTCTGCAGCTGCTGGCTCTGCCCCTGATCTGCCTGCTTGGCCGACATCATCAGAAGTGGTGTCTGAGAAAATTACAATGCTTCCCCATTGGATTGGCTAAGACTGTCAACTAAGCAGATCAGGGGCAGAGCCAGCCAAGCAAGTCAAACATAGCCCTGGCCAATCAGCATCTCCTCATAAAGATAAATTGAATTAAAGGACTACTACAGTGCCAGGAAAACATACTCGTTTTCCTGGCACTATAGTGCCCTGAGGGTCCCCCACCCTCAGGTCCCCCTCCCACCGGGCTCTAGGGGGTGGAAGGGGTTAAACTTACCTCTTTCTCCAGCGCCTGGCGGGGGATTCGTCCTCGTCTGAATGCGCATGCACGGCACAATGCTTTCCTATGGATGCTGGCGTCTTCTCACGCATTAGACAGCCACTAGAGGTTGGATTAACCCTATTATAAACATAGCAGGTTCTCTGAAACTGCTATGTTTATAGAAGAAAGGGTTAATCCTAGCTGGACCTGGCACCCAGACCACTTCATTAAGCTGAAGTGGTCTGAGTGCCTATAGTGGTCCTTTAATGCATCTCTATGAGGAAAGTTCAGTGTCTGCATGCAGAGAGTGGAGACACTGAATGGCAGTGCTGCACACTAGGCAGTACTGCCCCAGGAAGCACCTCTAGCAGTCATCTAAGGAGTGGCCAGTGGTGTTATTTTCTCTGAAAAGACAGTGTTTACTGCAAAAAAAGCCTGAATGGAATGATTCTACCCCAGAACAAATACAATAAGCTGTAGTTGTTATGGTGACTATAATGTCCCTTTAAGTTTGGAAGCTTAAGAGGGATGTATGGCAACAAAACTTGTGTGGACTGGCTGACAATAAAATTAGTTTAGGTAATGCAGGCTTTGGTTTCTCTAACACTGGGGCATGTCCCATTTCTTCTACATTGACTACATACACCTATACTCTGTCCCAGTCTATATACCAGGAACTTCTGCCTGCTAGTAATAAGGTAAGGAGACAAGTGGACATGTGAGTGCTAGGGGACAGTTCTTAGAAAGCAAGTTCCCTCCAATAATGAGACGACGCTACATTTGGAAGGGTAAAGAAGAACTGACTGTACTGGCATATACAGCCTCTTTTATTCACATTCTACAAACAGAGTACTGCCCACAGGGTTTTGAAGAACAACCAATCAACACATTACAACACAGCTAACACTCCCATTGATTACATCAGAAATCCTCCCCTCTGCCTGTGATACAATTATTTCAACACAATAGACTAACTTAATTATCACATGCAGGAAAATACAGTATTATAAAACATTGCACAGGTACCCCAAAACATGCAATAACCCCATAAAAATCTATGCCCTGAATCGGGGGATCTGGGTGAACCACATATCCAAAATTCACCCAGATCCGTTCAGTAGTTTGAAAGATACAGTTTAATGCAGATTCCGCAGAACATATACAGGCTATATGAAAAATAATTACTGTATAAAGTGTCCCCTGTTCTGTAGTTTAAAACTACTGAACGATGTCTTTGTGCACCAAATATCGGCAAGATGGCACTGTGTAGAAAAGTCAAAACAGTGTCTGTGAGTTAAAATGGCAGCCATCCATTGTTCTCACCATGTGCTTCATCCATTGTTCTCACCATGTGCCTCTGATACATGAAATGGTGGTCACCCAATAACTCTACAGTTTGACTGGTAGTCTATCCAGCTGAACCAACAGATGAAACACATGGAGAACAGTGCAACAAACGAAGGGAATCATAAAAAATATGGACAATAGTCATATTTGTGCACAATCTCCAGTTTTGTCACAGGGCACAAATAGTGTTTTCAAATGCCATATATCCCAGGGCCATAGTCATAAGGTAGGAGGCGGGCAAGCAGCCCCCTCCAAGAACACGTGGCGAGGTCTGTTCCGCCACAATACACTAGGGTGGACTTTGGTCCATGTAATCTCTGTGATACCAAAATGCGCAGTAATGAGGTTGTAGTGATGACATGGCTCCCTGGGAACCATAAATGATGCTAGGTATCATATTGGTATGAGTAGAGGGGTGCTGCAAGCATGCAGTGTCCCTCTCACTGCCTGGAGACCAGGAAGTGTCTGCCTCCTGAAGGTCCAAAATGTAGCGCCAATCGGAAGGTTGAAAAGGAACGGATGTTGTAGCTTCCTGATCAAAGAGCACACAGGAATGCAGGAGTGGTGCAGCGATCCAACAAGCACTGCGACATTTTGAAAGTCAATCTCCTGGAGACTGGGTAGTTTGTAGGAAATACTTTCACTCTGCAAGATCTTATTGACAGACTTCAACAGAAACCACATGGATAGTGTGAATAAAGGCATGATAAATGGGGGGCTGTGATACATCTGTGGTGGGACTGTCGAATCATCACCCCATATTGGGGTAGAATACGATCGGAAATCACAGCAATCCTGGGGGACGACATGGAATGGTCCTGCTATATATCACCTCACGATCCATCTCTGGATATAAGAAATCTATTCTACGTCACCTTCTGAATGCGGCCAAGGCTCTCATACCCGTTTACTGGAAACGACCTGAGATCCCCATGATCGAAGAGTGGCTCCATAGGGTCTGAGACATTCAGGCGGCGGAGGCATTACAGACGTCCTTGGCGGGCTGGGAAACCAGATGCTTCGCATATAAAGCTAGAGGGTAGCGGCCACCTCGCGTTCGACTCGGAGTTGGGGTGCCAAAAGGCGGATCATGATCTCCCCTCAACACTACCAGAAAGATAACCCCCCTGCGGGGAATATCTCCAATCATGGGGAAACCACTCTCAGATAAACAGCTCAATCCTGCAACACACGCACCACGTGATTAGAGACACCAAGCCCAAGCATGATACCCGATCTCTCACACAACTTCAGAATTCACACACCACATACGACACACTGCTCAGGGGGAGGACACACCACCCCACCTCCCCCCCGCCCCCATAACTACTACTTTGCCCTCTTCTTTCCTTCTCTAAATACAAGTCATGTCTCTCTCTCAAAAACTCTCCCGATACACAAACTATAATTTTCACACTAGGACGAGGGAAACAGCAGCATGATTATGTGATGACATACCTTAAGCCTTGGATAAAGATATTGATGTCTGTCTGTACGTAAAATAAAGATTACTTGATTATATAAAGAGCTCACGGCATATTCACATAAAAAACTACTATATTCCTCATGTGAATTTACAACGTCACCAAGCAATGTTCTAGAACAATGTTAATTTGTGATTAATGAGACTAACACTGGATCTGTATTATGCCTTTACATATATTTCTCATGAAGGCCTGTGAGCCTAATCTCCCTGTTAACTTAATAAAAAGATTTACAAAAATAAATAAAAATAAAGCCATGATATTAGAAATTTGATTTATTTCTGTTTTTGCACAATTTATTTCTTTATGGAAGATTTTAGGAGGAGGCACATTACAGCCTGAGAAAAACTGCCAGATAAGTTATGAAGCCCTGTAGTGTTCTATTGGTCAAGGCGAGTTTAAAGATAATGGTGAGGGTCATCACGTGGACATTATTTTGGCCACTATATTTAGTATTTTTGAGGCTGCACACTATGCTGTTCAGTTGGAGAGCTCTATTTCCTAGTTTTGTAGTGAACCTGATGGGTAGTCATGGGGTAAGGTAACCATGTAATTTTAAGTCTGATTGGTAGTGAAAGCAGAGGTGATCAGGTTGCAACATAATAAGTCTTAATGGTAATGTTGAATAGTATGAAACTACTGTTAGGAGTTTTTTCTGCTATTTGTAGTATGTTTTATGTCGTAAATG